ACACTCAGAACCATATGTTTGAGACTCACAATCTGAAAACGTTGTTTATCATTAACCTTTTTTGCATTTGTCAATATTTAATATAAAATTAAATCTATAATTATGATTGTTTTATTTCTATTGAATGTCTGCTTTACTTACCAATACACGTTCTCTGGTCTCATCCAACTTCTTTCCAGCAGCACAAGTACAGGTGTACCCGGCACCGGGGGCATTCTGGGTACATGTTTCACTGCAGGGATTTGGATTACTTGTTTATGTCTACGGAAATAATAAAAAACAGAGAGAAGTAGTTCTTCTTTATCATTGCATTGTAAACATTTTTTGTCAAAATATAGGGAACCTGGAGTATTTCATTAATTGATCAATAGTTAATTTTACTTTTATATGTACAAAGACACAGTCATATGATCAAATGTAACATTGTTTTATCAATGATTTTTTATATAATGTTTAACTTAACGTCCATAAACATATCAAGATATTTTACATAAAAATATAGCTACCAGTGCAAGTAAAACCGTCATCATCTAAGCTGAATCCAGGATTACAGAAGCAATATTCCGATTCTAAATTAACTCCACACTTCTGCGTGCAGTTAAATGTAACGTTCTCACACCGTGTCCTTGCTTTAAAAGAAAAAATAAAATACAATCGTTATGAAACTTCAGTTATTTAGGTAATTCAAATACTCCTTATGAAACTGGACATATAACAGAAATGAAAAAAAGTAAAGTATTTACTTTCACAGGTAACCCTTGTTGTCGTATTCAGTGAGAACCCTGCATTACAAGAGCACCTAAAGCTTCCCTGGGTGTTGGTGCATATTTGATCACAGGGACTTGTAGGAGCAGTGCATTCGTCAATATCCTCACACTGTGACCCACCGATCAATCGAAATCCAGCATTACAACCACAGGAGTAATTTCCTATGGTGTTCGTACAGAGCTGACTACATGGATTAGTTTTGCATTCATCGATATCTAAATTAAATTGCAACTACCTTTACATATACATCATGATTATTTTCAATAATCCCATGGTTTAAGTTATTGAAGATTATATCGTTCCATTTACATAATACATTTTTTCTGTAATGAACAAAAGCTTTTTACGTTTTCAAGTAAGATTATATAAAAATTGGTAGAAAAATATAGCTTCAATTTAAATAATTTTAAACCTGTGCATTCATTTAACGTTGTATTCTTCACATATCCAGGAGCACAAACACACTTATACGATCCTGGTGAGTTCTTGCATTCCTGATTTGCTTTAGTGCAAGGACTTCCAGACGAGCACTCGTCTTTATCAATGTCACATTTTTCTCCCGTCCATCCACCATCAAATACAACCTTGACTTATCACATTGGGGAAACCCATCCACAGTTACAAGGATTTTCAGCCCCCAAATGAAAACCCCATTACTTTAAAAATTTTAAGTACAGGTATTCAGGAATTTTAAGGTAGTCAAAAATTGAAATGTCTTACAAAAGAAATAAATTACTCAGTTTTGTGTAGATAGATACCGGACATATACGTATGTAAGTATTAATACAGTTTAAAATGATATTTATGGTACTCCGGCAGTCAATTATTCAAATACAGAAATTTACTGATTAATATTTTAATTTAATAATTTCTCCAATCGTATGAATCACCTTTACAAGTCCTTCCATCATTTTCTAATGTATGCCCTATCGGACATGAACAGTTGTAGGAACCATCAATGTTGATACATTTTTCTTTGAAGTTGCATTGATTTAAAGTAGCATCATTACACTCGTAAATATTATAAATGACATTTTTTAAAAAAAAAAAAGTGTTTCAATTAAATCAAATTTAATATTTAGTTTTAGTTCAAACAGAAAAAGAAATATTATTCTATCTATTTGTGTGGTTTATGCCATTGCTTTCTATCGAGGGTTATTTGTGAAACTCATTAAAAGAGATCATGTTTTACTCTTAACAATTAATAGTTGTAGAAAAAACATTAATTGTGAACTCAGCTGTTCACAAAATTTGGGAAACTGGGCTTTCTCCATCTTACTTTTGTTTTCTTTTTTTCATTAGCATAAGAATGCTTATATATCAGTTAAGTATAAACCACTTACAGCATCATTATTCTTAGAATAATAATACGTCAATTAATATTTTCGTATACGGACCATACAGAATCGTTAAAGCGGTAAACGAAAAAAAAAAATGAACATACATGTATCGTTTCACAATACCTCCTTGAATAAATGAAACTTTTATATTTTTCCAAAATATAGTAGCAAAAAGATTTTTTTTTTTTCTGTCAGATGTTCTAAATGCATAACATTATTTATCATATGTTCGACAGATTAAAAGAAATACAATAAAACAGCCTAAGTTTTTAAAATCCAGTAAGAATATAACGTAGGTTATAAATACATACCGACACATGATCTTTGGTCCTGTGCATTTAGTAGATATCCAGCCGGACAAAAACAGGACCCTTCACTTCCATTCTTTTACATCCATACGAGCAGTTTAATAATGGAAACAGGTCATATATCTTGTACTATAATAATGAAACATTAAATGGATTGGTTTTTCTAATAACATAAATTGTATTAAAAAATTTATAATGTGAAAGAATTGAAGGACATGTCAGAATAATACAGGAAAAAGATGACACTTCATTTGCAACTTTGACTCATAACAATAAATATTCATGTAATCATGTATTAACGAAGAAAAATTCTGTTTTCATAGGCATATGCTAATGACGGTGCCCACTTGTTTCATTGAGTCTACACAAAATCAGGACAAATCCGTCTCTTTCTCTCTTTGTGAAAATTTAAAGTAGTTGTATAAGATGCATATATATTTTTCAAAAGGGTTTTTATAGACAAATAAGACCATAGATTCAAAAGTCAAAAAAGTTTCTTCGATCACCCTCTCTTCCTATTGCAGCTTCACTAAGAAACGATCTTTAACAAACCCCCCTTTGGGACGTAAAAGATCGTTTCTCTGGAGTTGAAAAAAAGTAAGCTCACTTGGGGCCGCCAGAGACACCAAAAACTTTCAAAAAACCGATTTAAACTAATGGTCCGCCGAAACAAGGCTGAAAAAGTGCCGACTCGGCGTTAAACAATATTCAATCAATCAACCAATCAACCTATTGCAGCCTAGGGTGGTGAAATTCACTACGTGATTTCTTAATGCAGGTGATTTTAAGAGAACTCAACATTGTCACGTGCCTTGATAGATAGCTCTTTTATGGTTTTGAATAAGAACATGGTAGTCAAGTAAGTTGTCAGTCATTGGTTTAAATTTTTAAGTACTTATATAGACATGGCCATGTAACTTAGATAAATGAAAAAGATCCAAAAAATCTGGGTTTAATTAAGGCTATGAATGTTTCGTGTACTTAATCTCTTTGTGAGCAAATTAAATGAAGACTCGATGATATTTTGATATCTTTACCTTCTTTTACATGTTTTTCTGTCATCACCTAACGTATAGCCAAATTCACATTTACAGTTTAAAACCCCCATCTACATTGTCACATCTCTGAGAACAACCATCCGTCTCAGCAGCGCTCATTCGAAATCTAAATATTGAGAGTTAGTTTTGGAGTCAAGAGAAAATCAATCATGTACAAGTACATTTACTTCAAGCAATAATATTATGATATAATGTTTTAAGTTACGTTCAATAATTGAAAATAAATAATAAGTAAAAATAACTGCCTGAACTTTAAGAATTAAATGTAACATAAACTTTGTTGGATCAGAATTACATATTAAGAAAAACGGTTTTCTATATTTTTTATCCGTAAAATTTCCCGACAAGCTACTACACATCTTCAGTTATATTCTAAAAGATCACCTTAATCGATGATTAGGCAATAGGAATTATAAAAAAAATTCTGATAATGAAATTATTGTAGAAAATGAACATTGACCACGACTTAGAATCTTAAAGATGACGGAAAATCAATGCAAACCATGAGAACAGTAAAATGCAGAAAACCGTATTTTCTTTAAATAAATTAAAATAAAAGCAGGTAAGCATTAAAAATCTTTAAAATAATTGTTATGTTCTGCGACATATTAGCCCCACATTATAGTTTAAATCAAAATGCTGAGAAAAAACGATGATTTTCGAAATCGTTTTGCTAACCCTAGTTTACCCTACACAATATGATTTTTTGGAATAGTCCACTTACCTTCACACTCATAAAAGTTTTTTCGCGTGTATCCAGATTTACATGTACAAGTATAGCCGCCAATGTTATTAGAGCAAACTGTCGTATCTGTAGAGCAGTTATGGGAAGCAGCGTTATCGCATTCTTTAATATCTGAAAAGAAAATTGTAATTTTTTTTGTGATTTTCGCGTAACAACAGACCGTTTGAATGTATATGTTCTTTAAATTCTGAACTCATTTATAACATTAAGTGAAATGCTTTCTGATTTCTGTGTGGAAGAGAAGGGTGTCCATTTTTGAAGATGGTAAATTAAAACACGACATTCCGTGTGAAATCTCCAATGAAATTTATTCTTTTATTTGATAAGACGTCCCCCTACTTTTGCAACCTTTGTATTATGGATTTGAAACTTCACATGTGAATTTCATGAGAGGACCTTCAAATACTTATAGTTTTGACCTTTTTTGCTATACTTTTAAAGTTTTACTTTCCTTCAACAAACATTAATCTAGGTCATAACTTTTTTAATTGTTAATGCTAGCGCTTTCAAATGTCATATGTATCTTTTTCCTAGGACACCACTAATTTTTTTTGCTGTCTTACTTTTCAAATACAGAGGTATAAGTGATTCAAGACCACAATCCATTGAAACTTTCAAAACAGAAAATCTTAAAAATGTGAAATGACATACGTTTACAATTGCTCCCTTAATTTATAGGGGGTTTTTTAAATAAAAAATCATTCTCTTCCATATGACTTGATTTGCGGCTTCAGAAATAAATTATCTCACCAATACAGTTTCCTTGGCTGTCTTTTTGAAATCCAGTTCGACAGTTACAAGTGTGAGATCCTTCTAAGTTTTGACAGATTTTGTCACTACCACAGATGTTAGGGTTTTCTGTACATTCATCAACATCCTGGTCACAGTTACTTCCGGTCCAGCCTGATTTACAGACACACCTGTCCACTGGATCACACCGGTCCATCCCCTTACCACAGGTACAAGTTTGTTGACATCCAACACCATAGTTAGGGGGTTCGCATTCTTAATGTAAAGAGCACGAAATTTAGCAGACATTCGGAGATTTGTTTGAGCTAAATTTAATCGATTGGTTCCGCAAAGTATGAAATGATAGCTTCAAAATCATAAGAATAATATTTGACTGTAATACTATAATATTTCGTGAACAAATTACCCGAACAAGTTGTTTTATCTGGATTCAGTGAGTACCCAGCGAAGCAGGAACAAGTGTATGATCCGTCAGAATTATCACAGCCCTGGGAACAGATTCCACTGACATCACATTCATTTATGTCTAAATGAACAATATATATTTTTTTGAAAGTAATTGATATCTCAGTTATTTTTTTATACAAATATATATGCAAATTTATATGTATGATCATCTCTTTAATTCCCTCCTAGCCAATTCTCTTAATTTAATTGTAGCAACCAGCAATGTATATTATTTTACCGGTGTTGATTTACAGTAACATGGATAAAAATTGAGGAGAAAAATGCCAGATACGAGCCCTAAGTTTAAATATTCTCACAAGAACAATTTGAAACAGAATTTTACATTTTAACATTAATTTCGTCCTAAAATTTACCATGGCTTGAAATGATAATTAGATTATTATTTACTTCACAGGTATTAAAGCATTGATCGAAAACCATTGTCTGACATATGTCAATGAGCAATATTATATGCCATGATGATAATAAGAACAAGCAAATAGGTCAAAGTTTTTGGTATCCCATGTAAGGTCTTGCCATAAAGAATACATATATTTAAAATATGAAAGTCCTAGTTTCTACCGTTCAAAAGTTGTGATCAGGGTTAACATTTTTAAAAAGTAGTTAAAACTCCAAGGTCAAGGTCAAAGGGTCAAAGTTCTTGGCATCCAATGAAAGGTCTTCTCACAAGGATTACATACGTGAAGTACGAAAGCCCTAGCCCTTACCGTTCAAAAGCTATGGTCAAAGTTAAAGTTTTTCATAAGTACTTAAATCTCCAAGGTCAAGGTCAAAAGGTCAAAGTTGTTGTTATCCAATAAAAGATGTTGCCACAAAGAATAAATATGTGAAAAATGAAAGTCATTGTATCTACCGTTCAAAAGTTGTGACCAAGGTTAAAGTTTTTAAAAAGTAGTTAAAA